ATATATATATATATATATATATATATATATATATATAACACAAATTTTATAAAGGAGTGTAACCCTTCGGGGAAGCAGTAAAATGTATCTATCTATCTATAACAAATTTTATATATATATATATATATATATATATATATATAAACATATTTATAAATCGTCACGAATATTTCTAATGTAACCGAATTTTATTCTTTATAACTTGAAATTAAAAAAAAAAAATAATAATAATAATAAATAAAATAAAAGAACAAAAAAATGATTACTAAAAAATGGCGTGCAAACGAGAATTGCAACATTAGATCAAAAGGAAATATAAATCAAATTTTCGTTTTATAAAAAAAAAAAAAAAAAACAAACTCATGCACCGCATGTGGTGCATAACAATTTTATTTTAAATACAGAAACACGTAAATAATCTGCGAAAAATAATATTAATCAGAATAATAGAAAATCGATGTTTTCGTTGGTACAAATAACAATGATATTTTTCTTTGAATACAAATGCTCAATAACAAATAATTCATATTGCAATTCTCATTGTATAACCTTACATATTTACACCCAAAAAAAAAAAAACGATATAAAAAAATAATATTTACCTTGGTATACAAACGCTGTAATATAGTCCATGATTCCTGAGAACGTGAATGAATTCAGTGGCCGTTCTGGTGAATCCAATGATCGAAAATGATGCTAAGAGGGTGTTCCATATGGTGAGAATACCACGTAGTTCAAACTTCGGTCTACTAGCCATGTAATGTTGACCACCAAATATTAATATCATATATATACCACAATAATAAAATGCACTTGTCCAATGTTTCATCATCCATGCTCTTGTATCCTGATGCATAAACTTTTCTTCGAAATTAAATACGTAAGAATAATTCGGGCAAGTTACTTCCATGTAATCCATGTTGTTCATCTTGAAATATTTTTTTATTTTATTTTATTTTATTTTATTTTATTTTTATATTAACACTTAGTTTCGTTTATTTATCACACACACACAACCCCACGGAGAAATATTTTGTCTATGTCAGCTTCTTGTTATTCCCGTGATTGCGTGAATTTATTCTGCACAAACAAAAAACACAATTACGTCAATAATGATGTCTTATTATTTAGTTACTTATTTATTTATCTATTTATTATTATAAATGGGTGTCACAGTTAAAAAAATTTCATGCCAAAGATAGAAATGTTTTTTTTTTTTTTTTATAAATAATTGTTATATATTAATATAATATATAATATTAATGTAATATTATAATAAATATTATATATAAATATAATTTATATAATATTAATATAATAATTTTAATATATCATTTTAAAATATATATAGAAAATATTATAAAAATATAATTTATATATAATATTAATATAATAGTTTTAATATATATATATATATATAATTTTAAAATATTATATAAAAAATTATATAATAAAATTATAATTAAATAAAAAAAAATAATAAATAAAATTATATTCATATTTTAATTATAAAAATAAAATATTATAATAATATTATAAAATATATAATATTTTATTGTCCTTTGAGTTCAGAAGTTTTAAATCCAATTTTTTTTGTTTATAGAACACAATATAAACCCAATTACTATTATTATTATTATTATTATTATTATTATTATTTTAAAAATATGATAATCTCTCTCTCTTTCTTTCTGTTTCAGAAATGTTGTGTAACAAATAGGAGTAAATTATATTTATCTAAATATAAATAATTCATATTTATTCACAAACAAGTTCATCCTACAATTTACTATAATAATATTAATTATTCGTGAATAAAAATGCTCTACAAGAATGTAAATTTGGAATAATTTCTAATTTTGTGTAATGAATAAAACTCAAATTAAGTATATAATTATTTATGTAAATGATAATTTCATGCGTATATATTTTATTGAAAAAAAAATTAGTATTTGCTTTTAATCAATAGATACAGTGAAAACTTAATTTAAAGATTCCGATCGATAAGAAAATGTAAGCTTGTGAATGCGATTTTTTTTTTTTTTTTACTTTTCTATCAATTCCACCAGCAAATTATTTTTTCATAAAATCTTTTTAAAAAATATGCCGAATATAAGAAAAAAAAAACAGATCTGCTACTTTTTTAAGAGCTTAATTTATCTCGTTTTTCTTTCTTTGATTCTTAAATTCAAAGTCTGAGAAAATTTTCTTTTTTTTTTTTTTTTTCTTTTTTTAGATTTTACGACTGTAAAAGAAATTAAACCTACCCTTACATTTTTATGTATAAATATATAATATATTATTTTTTTATCTGAAGTAACGTTAATATTAGAAAAAAAAAAAAAAAATAAAAAAAAATAGGTTTTTCTTTAAAATTACTCGACACAACTATTTTTAGACTTATCGCTATTATTTTTAACATAATGATCCACTAAACACAACGATTATTATACACAAAATAATTATGCATACTTGAGTTGCATTATCTTTTCAAAAACTATGACATTTAAATGAAAATGTAAATTGCAAATTCATATTTTCCTGTAACTTCAACATTTACAATGAATTCAATGAAAAACGTTTATTCATTTGTATTTCATATTGAATAATAAAGTTATAATTAAAAAAATAATAAAATAAATAATAATAATAATAAGTAAAATATTAAAAATATTTTAATATTTAATAAAATATTAAATATTAAATATAAAAATAAAAATAAAAATAAAAATAAAAATTAAAATTAAAATATAAAAATAGTAGGAATAATAAAAAAAAAAGTATAACAAAAATATCCAAAGAGTAGTCTCTATAAAATAAATTAACTTATAAACTTTTTTATTTAACACGTTGAAACTCATTTTTTTCCTATAACAAAATAATATTCTTCTTATTATGTAAATTAAACAACCTTCGAAATTGTAAAAGATTATTAGAAAGAAATATAAAATAAATATAAAAAAAAAAAAAAAATAATAATTGTTGAACATTTCATAGTACACGAATCATCGATTGACAAATTATTTTGTTGTATTAAATAAAAAATTGTACAAATTATCAAATGCATGTTTGTTTGAATCATCGTAAATATCGATTGTGATTTAACGAAAAAAAAACAAAAGAACAAAATAAAAAAATACAAAGATGTTCGTTTATGAAAATTGAAAGATCACCCGTTATCGAACAAATTTTTGTCGTCCAACATATCTGGTTCATTATGCAGAATCATCTCTTTATTTGGCAACTTGTGAAATCCTTTCATATATATATATATATATATATATATATGTATATACATATATATGGAGGGACTATAAAGCGCAAGCACAATATTCTCCCTGAGATTGATCCATCCGGAAATCTCGGTCACTAATAATATACTAAAAATAAAATAATCGTCGTTTTTTTTTTTTTTTAATTTTCCTTATAAATATTTATATAAATGTAAAGATGTCAAATTAACATAAATTATTTTTTATTGGTCCGTAGTAAAACTAACAAAGAGATTAACGAAGATAAACTTAGAAAACTAATGAAGATCAATCAAATACAAATTGTTGATACGAATTGTAATATGACGAGATAATTGACAAAATAATAAAGAAAAATAAGAACAAATATTAAAAGAAATCGATTAAAAAAATAATAAAATCCTGTCATCCAATCAAACTATTATAAATTTGCCAAATTTACCTCAGGCGATTTACGTAATGAAAAAAAAAAAAAACAAAAAAGAATTCAAAAAAAAGACGAGTAAAAAAAACGAGTCAGATTTCAAACAAACAAAAAATGACAATATTTCGAATGAATTAAAAATAAAAATAGAAAAATAAAAGTACAAAATACAAAGTCTACAGAAAAAGGAAAGATCACTAACAAATTTATCTTTTTTTTTTTGTGTTTTTTTTTTTTTTTTTTAAACAAAATCTTCTCTTTTCAAAAGACGCGCGCGCAAGAAAAAAAAAAGAAAGAAAGAAAGAACAACACACATACATACTACACATACACATACTTTTGTGTGTAAATTTCGTCGAACGAATCAGGTAAGAGGAGAATGACTCTTACGACGGAAGCGTACGATCGCGTGTAAAAAAGACGGAAGATGATAGGCTGACGGACATCGTACAACAGCGAACCGGTCTCGTTACAGCATCACATCACGGACACGAGGCAACCGTGCAGCAAATGGATGGACGAATGAACGGGGGTTAGATAGAAAGACGGACAGGCAAGCAGGCAGGCAGGCAGGCGAACACATGGAGGTTAGAGTGCACAATCCCGGTTCGCGTCCTCGAATTAAGGTCGAGAGCCCTCGTGTGAAAATATATACGTATCACTGTCTAATACTCTTTAAGTGGGAGTGAAATATAGAACACAAGGGATATACGTTTGATAACCCCTTAAGAGAGAGAGAGAGAGAGAGAGAGAGAGAGGGAGAGAGGAACGTTTCAAAAAAATTTAGACATTGAAGCAACAGAAAGAAAAACATTTCGCGTATCACGCCACCCGTGACCTCGATTTTGTAAAGAGAAAACAATTTCAGCTTTAATATCTTATAT